TGTGTATGTGAGTGTGTGAATGTGTATACATGTGTATATGTGCATGTGTATGTATGTACATGTATATGTATGTGCATATGGTACTGTGAATGTGAGTGTGCGTACATGTGCATATGTGTGCATGTATATGTGTGCATGCATGTTCATGTGTATACGTGTGAACATGTGTATGTAACTGTGTACGTGTGTATATGTGTGCATGTGTACATGTATATGTGTGTGCATCTGCATGTGTGTATCCACCATGTGTGTGTAGTGCTTGTAGAAGTCAGAAGAGGGCATCAGGTCCCCTGGAGCTGGACTTACAGGTGGCTGTGAGCTGTCATGGGTGCTGTGAATCAAGCCTGGGTCTTCTGCAAGAGCACTCAATGCTCTTAACTACTGAGCCAGCTCTCTAGCCCCCACCTTGTTTTACTTATTCTTTAAAAAAAAGTTATCAGCATTGCTTTCTTTAAGAAATAACATGATTACATTGAAAATTTTCATGTAGGTTGGAGAAAAAATATTTACTATTTTTATTTTATGTGTATGAATGTTATGCCTACATGTCGGTAAGTGCACCCGTGTCCGTGCAATGCCTGCGGAGGACAGAAGAGGCTGTTGGATCCCCTAAGTTAGAGACAGTTGTTAGCTGCCGTGTGGGTGCTGGGGTTCGAACCCAGGTCTTCCGCAGGAACAGTCAGTGTCCTTAATCGCTGAGCCATCTCTCCTGCCCTTAATGAAATTTCTTAAAAGCAGGCCTTGGCTTTTATTTACAGACTTAGTTTTAGAGCTGGAAATCACCTTAGCAGTTTACTAATTTAGCCTCTTGTTAACAACAGAAAGCTAATGCTAGGTAAGGAAGCATTTACAGTGGCTGGGAATGTTCATGTAACTGCTCCTGGAACTATAGCAGACTCTGATAGCCAGAACTACCCCCTTTCCCCATTTTGTCAGCAGTAGATTTTAGAACTACTCTTGTTTGTTTAGCTATGTTGGATTTCCCACATCAGCCATGTCTTTTGAACAGCAGTTCTGAATGAGGCCTGTGGATGGCATCTGTGCAGCACAGATGGAAAGTAATGTAGAAAGAGTGCACATACACACACATGTGCTGCATGCAGTGTGTGAGGAGCTCATACATATCTTCCTTCAGGTACATAGTGGAGATAGATTAAGATTACTTAACGATCAGTTGTGTTTGGTTTTGGGTTTGGAGGAGGTGTTGTTGTTTGGGTTTAGTTTCCTAAGAAACCAAGCTGACTTGGAACTCTAGGCAGTTCTGCCTCAGTCTCCCAGGTGGGGTTATAGATGTGAGCCACTGCACCTGGCAGAATGAACTGTTGAGAGGTTTCTCTGTGTAGAAGGGAGTAGGCAGTATGTTTATTTCTTACTTTGCTAAAACAAAAGTCTTGAGAACTAAGCGTGAGTTCAGGCCAGCCTGGTCTCTGTAATAAGCTCCAGGCTAGCCTGGGTTACATTGTGAGACTTGTATCAAGAAACCAAATAATTTTGAACAAATTTTAATTGCCCTTGAGTAAAGAAGTTGATAAATCATAGCCTTTAATTCACGATTCTCTTAGTTCTCTGTTATTTTGGTCCATTCAGGGCTACCTTTGTTATTTATTTTTAAAATATGGAACCTCTGAGCTGACCTTCCCTTCACAGCCTCGTACTCTCCTGAGCCCTTGCCTTCCTTTACCTCCCACCCATGGATTGAATTCTGCATTTTTTATAGGTTTATTTTTATTTTATGAGTGTTCTGCCTGCATGTGTGTTTGCACCACATATGTGTCTGCATCACATGTGTGCAGTACCTGTGGAGGCCACAGAGGGTATTGGATCCCCTGGCACTGGAATTATAGGTGGTTTTTAGCCTCCATGTGGATGCTGAGAACTGAACCCACACCCACATCTACAAGAGCAACCAGCACTCTTAACTGCTGAGCCATCTTTCTAAGATGCCCCTTACTACGTTTTACTCTAAGCAAAAATAATAGCAGCTTGTGCATGTATGCCTTTTTTTGTTTTCTTTGCTTTTGTTTTGTAGACAGGTTATTGGTCTGTAGTCCAAGCTGGCTTTCAACTGGCAACAGTCCATCTGCCTCACCCTTCTATGTTACTGGAAAACAGAGCGAGCCACCGTGTTCTGGCGTGCATATGTGTCTTAGTGTACATACTGTAGTAATGACTGAAAAATAGTCCTAGTTTGTAACATTTTTCATGGTACAGTTTTGCTCAGTGTGGCTGATTTCAAGCTACCAAAGTGACACCCCAGAGTACAAAGGGAAAAGGTCCTATGGGGCCCCTGAGGCCGCCACCAGACCCTGCACCATTGGGTTTCACTTCCTTGATAATGAAAGAGATTAAATGACTCTTCGGATTACTGGTCACATCTCCTCTTTGGAATGTATGTTTGAGTTTCTCTTCTTCATTTTATCACCACATTAGCCTTTCGGCTTCTTTGCTTATTTGTGATTACCAGCCTTTGTCGCAGATACTTTGCCTCTATCATTTGTCCTAGTTTCCCTCCAGTTGCTGTGACAAAATACCTAACAAACAATATAGGGGAGAAAGGGTTTATTTTATTTAGCTCACAGTTCCAGGTCACAGTTCATCATAGCAAGGAAGTCACAGGCAGCAGGAACTAATACAGCTGGTCACATCACATCTAGCTTACTATCTCCTTAGAGCAGAGAGAATAGACACATTCATGCTTGTCAGTGCTCAGCTGACTGTCTCCGTTTTTGTAATCCAAACTCCAGGAATGGTAATGCCTACTTTTGACCTAGGTGTTCCCATATCAGTTAACATAATCAAGACAATTCCCCACAGGCATGCCAACAGGTTAACCTAATCTAGAGAGTCCCTCATTGAGACTCAACAGGTGATTCTAGATAGAGTCAAATTGTCAATGAAAACTAACCATCGTATCATCTGATTTGTGATTTATCCTTTTAATGATGCCTTTTGGTGACTAGAAGTTCTTTTAAAATTCAGTGCTTTCTGTGTCTTGTTTTTAAAAAACGTTATAGAATTATTTTATATAAGCCAAGAATGGTAGTTGGTGCACAACTATAATCCCAGCACTTAAACAGTGGAGGCAAAAGGATCAAGAGTTCAGCCTCTGCTACATAGCAAGTTCATGGTCATCCTGGTTTGCTTGAGACCTTGTCTCAAGAAACATTTATTTTATATAACTAAGTATCCTAGCTCAGTGCCAGATAAATTGTTTTTCAGTAAGCTCTTGAATTGGAAATACTATGTAAAAGGCCATACAAGTAAAATCTGATGTGATCTCATTTAGAACAGAATACTGGGGCTGAGGAGATGGCTCGGTGGTTAAGAACACTGACTGCTCTTACAGAGGAC